AGAAAAAAATTTTCTTAAAAAATTATTCTGTAAAATATAAGAAAATACAAATTGCACAGTTAATATTTTAAAAGTAATTCCATGTTTATTCATATAAAGAGGAATGAGCCCTGCTCCCAGCCCTCAAATTTTATTTCATCACAGTAGTTGAGAGGAAGTGTCCTTGGAATAGATCCAAGTATTTTACTTTGCAAAGCAAAGATTTAAGAAATTATTTGATTTTTTGATCACAAAGTTTTATTAAACGTATTTTAAGTTTTCACATGACACTTTGCACGTAGTTACTACAACTACACACTTCTTTTTTAATCAAAAGCCTAATCATAAGAAATCCTTGAGCAACACACAGCAATCATCTAAATCCCTGTCAACATACAAAACTCTCTTTAATCTAAACAGAAACTTCAACAGCTACTAGACATTTTTAAAATTAGCTTCCCTTTAAACACTATATTAATTCTTTAAACACATGAAATTTTCACTGAGATAGAAAAACCAAAACTATTGGTTTCAATCTCAGAAGAGTATGAGAAGATAAACACAAAATCTACTACAGATCAAATAAAAAAGATCCTAAAAACAAAAGGTGGGCTTGAACAAAAACTTCCTTCTCAAAATGAAACCATCCCCACATGAAAATCACCAAGGCACAGTGAGACAACATGCTCCTCCCAAAAAAAGCCAGCTCTGAGCACAACTCTCTCCTGTCTCTGCTCCTATATGCAGGACACTGTCCACCATAATACAGATGCCACTGCGCAAAAGGGTACTACTTCGATTTCTAGAAGGGACACGCTAGAAAATGCAGCTATCCAGGGAAGAGAAAGGTTTTCTGGTCTTACATTTGTCATCTATTAGGTGTGATTTCTTGGTCAAATCCAAAGGGCTAACTACCCTCAAGTTTTGTTGTGATCTATTACATCACTTGCAAAATGAAACATTTTTTGAATCTCTCAAGTTTGAGGTGTTAGAGCAGTTGTTTTCAGGGGCATGAAGTTGATCTGGATAGTAACAATGGGTTTATATTTATGCTTTTGTATATATTTATCATGTACGAGTTTGAATTTAAATGTATTGAAATATACTTATTTCTAGTTATCATATAGTCTATATAAAAGTCTTGAAAATATCCTACAATAATGTAAGGAAAATGATTTTTTTCTCTTTAGCACAATATTCAAGTATTTAAATATACATATATGAAATTGCACAAAAACACAGGAATTATAAAATAATCAACATATGTTCATACCCTCCTCTAATGTGGAAAGCAGAATTCCAAGGATTAATGAATTTAAGCTTATCACATTACACAGCAGCACAACTCCTTTCAATTTACAAACACTAAGTTTCAAGCAAAATGCATCAATTTAAAAAAAATTTTTAATTAAAACTTTTTGGGTACCAGAAATTGAACTTAAGACCTTGAGCTTGCCAGGCAGGCACTGTGCCACTGATCTATCTCTCTGGCCCAGAATGCACAAATGAAAGGTCACAGCTCCGTTACTAGCCTGCTCACCCATACCACACCAGTAAGATACTGATTTACCCAGATAGGAACCATCAGCCTCTTCAATCCTCCGTGGCCCCCGCCTGTAATGCCTTACCTCCCGGGTTTCGTGCTGTATTTCTGCAGGCGCGCCTTAACCTCATCATAAGTGAGAAATGCCATGTACCCAGGATGCGTCACAGCTAAGAAATTCCAATTCCGCAGAATAGAGCCCCATGGCTGAAAATAAACAGAGAGATTATCTAGATTATATGAACCACTCATTACACACCAATGTATTATTGCCTACCCTTAATGAAATTCTACTAGACATTTTTAAAATTAGCATGTACTTATGTGGCTTGGATTAACCTTTGTTAATAGCAAATAATGCAACAGTTTATTTATTTTTTTGGAGAAGCATGATTAGGCAGAAAAAAGATTTCTTAAGGAATAGAATAAGGAAAACCTCATAATTTCTATGTAGTTTATCCTTTAAAAGTATGTATGTATGTATGTATGTATGTATGTATTTGGCACGGGGTTTCACTACACAGCCTGTACTTGCAGTGATCCTTCAGTTTCAGCCTCTCCAGTGCAGGGATTACAGATGCGCACCTCAATGCCCGGCCTCAGTGGCTGGCTCAGCACACCCAGAGCTGGGCCAGCATGGCATGTGGTACTAGGGATCAAACCTGGGTCTCTGCGCTTGCTAGGCAGGTGCGTAGCTCTCTGGGCTATCTCCCCAGCCCCAAATAGTCTGTTCTTCATAAAGCCTTTGTGATCATTTTGAAACATAAACCATATTCCCTTTCTTCAAAACTTTCTAATTTTAAATAAGAATCAAAGTCCTTGTAAATAACTTCATGCTACTCCAAAGGGCCTAACACGGTTTAATCTCAGTGACTTTCTGGCTCAACCTTCCGTCCCACTTCCACGGTCCCCTCTTTCCCTGACACATGAGCTCCCTTGTCACAGGCCTGAAACCAAGCCCGATGACCACCACAGTCTTCGTATTTGTTGATTCTGTTTTCTACATTTTCCCCTTCCAAATGCCATGTGATTCCTTTCTCCAATATCCCTTCCTCAATGAGGAAGGCTGGCATAACATGTAAAGCAACTACCTCTTGTCGCATTCCCCATCTGCTAGGTGTCTGTTCTGTCCACTAAGATGCCCTCAGGTGTGTCATTTGTAGAATGAGAAAATATCCCACAGAAAGCGTTCTGGCAAACACTGTACCTCCGCTGCCTAGAGGCAAGGAGCACGTCTGTCTCGCTCATCCGTGGGGCTGAACGAGGGCATCACATACACTACTGTTGCACAGTGACTTCATGTTTCCTCCAAGGTGACACGCTCCTGCTCTTTCTCTTGGTTTAGGTTTAAACAATTACAAAATTAGGAAAGGTTTAGGGCTTAAAAGTGAGCTATATAAAAAATTTCACAAAATACCTAGCTTGTATCAACATGCCAATCTCCCTCAGACTGATTAGTTGTCACTCCAGCTACTATGGCAAGAGAGAAAGGCAGTCAGCGACAGACAACTTTGCTTGAGGGTGTGAGTGAATCATCTGCAATTGTTTTTCAGGCTGGGGCTGCACTTACTCCTAGGAATTGGCAGCATACTACTTCTAATGTGCCAGATTCTTAAATCTTCTCCATGAAAGAAAAAAAACAGGTGATTTATGTGGCCAAGTTAAACTGCTGAAAAGGCTATCAGAGGCTTGATTACTGATCGGGCTTCTGCTTTTGTTTGTCTTGAGACTTGTTCTTTATTACTGTAAATCAAGCTTCAAATTTACAAGGCAGGATTCTTCAAGTATTATTTCCCGTGAGATGAGAACAACAAGGGAAAGAAAGATTTGATAATAAGGAGTCATTTAGCCTTTTCTGACACAACCAGAAAAATCTTTAAGGTATTTCCTCATCACACTAAAATATCTAATTGGTTTTAAAGGAGCCCCTGAGAATACAAATATGAGAGGTTCTATTTGAACCTCACAAAAATCATAGTTCTAATTTTCTCTTAAGGTATGACTAATAACTTACACAAAACATAGTTGGAGAAATGCACATATGTAAAAAACAACTAAGACATAGCTGTTTTTCCAGATATTGTTTATTGTTATGCTTCCTCACCTACAAAGGATAAGGACAGATCCAATATCAAACAAATACTGGGGATACTTGTACTAAAGTCGACACATATTAATGGAAGAACTGCTTTTCAAAATGCTAAATTTCATAGTGTCGATGCACAGTTTAAAATACAAGAGAAAAGAATGACATTGGAGATTTAGAGCCAACTGCTACAGTACTTAGCAACCATTTCTTAGTATCATAATTCATAGAGCCAGCTTTTAATTACAAAAATATTTATGTAATCGGATGAGTCTGTGTGGTGCTTATTCATTAAATGCAACCCACTCAAAACAGCACAAGTGAAGTGTTATGTGTGTGTGTGTTTTCCATTTAAAACACCTTACAAGCTAATCATTTATAGAAGGCAAAATAAAGTGTTTTGGAGAATAATTCATTGATTAAAGGAAACTTTTTCATAAACGCAAGTGGGAAATCACTTGAAAATTTTTAAACTACAGAAATTAATGAAATGAATTAATTAGTCCCTCCATTATGCCAAATGTCACTATTTTCAAGAGCCAATTACTGGCCCACGTTAGAAGAGGCTTAAAAGTAGCCTGCCCAGATATTCTTTATTAAGAATAGCTTCCCTACTACTGATGACTGTGTTCTTTACTTGTCCCTTTTTTCTAGTAAAGATCTATATTTCATAATAACTAGGATACTTCCCCAAACACTCCTTCCCTATCCTGGTACCCCTCAAATGTAGTGCCCCATCTCTCAATGGCCTAGTCTTCCCTAATAGTGGGGAAAGTAAAAGAAAAGAACCTGCTCATCATAAAATTCACCACCTAGAGAAGAAAGACACGGATAAAAGCAGGAGGAAGAGCACATGATGAAGGTAATACACAACTCACCAAGACCCTTGTAAATACTCTCCAGTATTTGTTCAATGTCTACCTAGCTGTAAGGGTAAAGGGAACGAAAACGAAGCCGCTGCTTTCCTTCCCTGCTCAATTCTCACCTCATCCTACCCTCTCTGACCCATTCTTCAAGCCCCTACACTACTGTCTGCCTTAGACCCTAAATCCCAAGTGTACTTTACCCATTTGCAGACCCCACGCTGTCTAATCCCCTACCCCAGTTAATTCGGAGCCCCAACCACCAGCACCACACTCTAGCCAACTATGTCCATGCAGTTACAGTATTAACACAGTTTATATTCTGTGCAGATCGTGGACACTGAAGGATGTAACAAGTACAATAATTTTAAGAAAATATTGGATCATGTAAAAACAGAAGATTTTTCAAAAGCATTTGATTACAGGAACCCAAGACAATCAAAAATCTCCAAGAATTTTTCAGCTTCTTCCACAATTGTGTGTTTTAAAGAGATTAGGCATTTGGCACAGTTAGTATTCTGTCTTTATTATTTATTTTTTTACAGTAGCTCTGTTTACAAAGATCCTTTTCTGTTCTAGCAAGCATAAATAAGGTATACAAACTTTAGAGTATTAAAGTTCCTTGTGTTATTTTAAAGTGAAAGAGTTTATAAGAAAATATGTACACAAATTAAGCTGCAGTTTGGGTAAGAATTAACCAAAATTAAGTTGTCCCTATACTTTAATATAATACTTGAGAGCATTCTAGCATTTAATACCCATACTAAAGCCATCCAAGTTCCACACACAGAAAAAGTACTTTCTAAAATGAGCAGTTAGGTTTAATGTGTGAAAATTGCTTCTGCTTTTTTAATTCTAAAGGTAAAGAAGCAAAGCTCTTATTTCTATTTCCTGTATCATGTTAAACAATGGACGTGTTTATTCTGAAAAAGTATTGAAACTTTTTAAAGAAAGGAGAGCTTCCACTATAAAACAATCAGTACTCAGTAACAGCACTGTTTTCAAAAGTATGTATCAGAAGCTAGGTGCAGTGGTGTATACCCTTCACCCATCACCTCTGCAATTGGGAGGGGAGCCACAGGACCACAAATGCAGGCCACACTGGCCTCCATAGAAAGTCTGCTTTAGAACACCAGGGAAGAAGAGCAATAAACAACAACAATGCACCTTGGAATCCTTAAAGGAAACAAGCCAGGCATGGTGGCACACATCTGTAGTTCAATCATGCAGGAAAGGCTGAGGTAGGAGGATAATAAATTCAAGCTCAGTCTGAGCAATTTAGTGAGACCGTTTCAAAATTAGGAAGGAAGAACGGAATCAAGAAAGCAAGAAATCAAGGTATCCAGGAAGGGAGAGAAGGAAGGAGGGGGAGGGAGGAAGGGCTGGCTAAAGGGATCAGGGGAGGGGAAGGAGGGGGAGGAGAGCAGAAAAAGGGGGGAAAGAGAGAGAGAGACAGAGACAGAGAGACACAGAGACAGATAGAGACACAGAGACAGAGACACAGAGAGAACAAGCAAGCAAGCATGAGATCAGAGCAGAAGTCCTGGGCTCAGTCCCCACTAACAGAAAACCATGTACACACACACTGACAATGTATGCGCTCCAACAGAATCCACATGAAACTAGTATAAATGTAAAACAAGCTACAGCACACTTTCTGCTATTATTTAACCAGCTAATGATCCTACATATAATGTATAATATGATTTTAAAATTGTAATAAAGTAAAATGTATCCTACACATGTTGCTGACAGAAGTTCTTTTATCATCTATTAAAAAGCTCTTCAGTAAATCAGAAGCTAATCCAAATAAAATGTTCAACTTTATTTTCCTTTTTTAAAACATAAATCAGTCACCCTATCCTTGCTGGCTAATATCACAAGCAGAATCATGTATTAGAGATGTAAAATTCATATAACATGTAAAACAAAACCAGTGTTATTCTTTCTTTTTTGCGGAGCCGAGGATTGAACTTAGACCCTTGCGCTTGCCAGGGAAATGCTTATTCTACTGAGCCATCTCCTTGGGCCCTATATACTAAAAATTTGTTGTAAGTTTTAATCAGAATAAATTGTACATAGCTCAGTTACATAAGCACTTGCTTGGCAAACTCAAGGTCCTGACTTCGATCCTTGCTACCAAAAAAAAAAAAAAAAAAAAAAAAAAGCAAAATAATCATGCCTTTGACATGGAGTTTTGGGGCTGGATATAGCTCAGCTGCATAAGTGCCTGCCTGGCAAGCACAAGATCTTGAGTTCGATCCCCAGTACTGAAGAAAAGAAGAAAGAAAAAAAAAAAGAATAAATTGTAGTGCACATTAAAATAATCATTTCAGAATACAAATAAGCATGGTACTTGATCAGTTTACATCACTATATAACTTATGTTATTAAATTATAAAACTTTTAAGTGGGATTCTTTTATTTTCTATTTGAATTGAATCCAATACATAATATGCATTTTAATGGCAAAACCAAACTCAAAACCCAAAATTTAAGTATTCATGTTTAGAGTAGTCCCATGAAGATATGCAAAAGAACAAAATAGCAGTATCTCCATATAATACTATCCAATTTTGAATATCTACATAAAACAACGATGGGGAATTAATTAAAAGACAAAAATCCAGATAACAATGCCCATCTCAGGATTGCTTATGGTACGGAAAAAGCAGGGAAAAAATGTAAATGTTACAAGACAAGTGCTGCTAAATTTATACTGACATACAACTTTAATGAATGTTATATAGGATGTGATACCTGAAAAATTATGTTAATGATGAGTATCTGTTGACATGGAAAAAAACGTTCATTACCCAGAATTGAATGAACAAAGCAATGTGTAAAACAGTACACAGGATACTTCCGTGCAGAAGAGTCCACTATTTCTAACTTTACTATTTCCCTTCTAATCAAAGGAATGCCATAATCAAAGAGGAACTGGGATACAACTCTGGCAAATGCTCACTTGTAAATGTTGCATTTTATTAGGTTGGTGTTGCCAAAACCAAGTGAGAATCTAAGTAGCGAGCTTACAACAAGTCTTTTGCATGAGTGTCCCCAACACAAACAGTCAACCTCTTGGACACAGGAGCTGATATTCCAATATCCCATGATTCAGTCTACACGTAAGAGGAATGACCTAACCTTTACAAGCAAACCTTTACAGGAATAAACTCATGAACTACCAAGAACACAAACTCGATTTTTCCACTATGTGTGTGGAGATGGACACACACACACACACACACACACACACACACACACGAGGAGGAAATGTGGGAGGAAAGAAGGGAGAGTGACAGCGAGAAAGGAATGATAGATTAAGCAAGTATAAAGCTTACCTGAAATAGCCTGGTAAAAATATCAAATTCAAATACTGAAATGTAATCGTTGAAAGTTAAATCAATTGTAGATTTTAAGGCCATCGCTTCTAGGCCAGAGCTAATCTGATGGACTTCATGGAGGCACTGTCTGAATACTTTCCATGGCACAATCGTTCTGCGGAAGGGAAAAACAAAATTACTGAATCAGTATCATGCAACAGATATCTTCCATTGAAATAGCACAGTTAAGTCATAAAATTAGTATCATTGCATTTACAGTAAAAGAAATATCTGAGAATATTGTTCATGATTCAGATCACAGGTAATGTTAACTTTGCTATGTCCCCTTTACTAAGAAAGGTAAAAGAAACAAAAGACCTTCCTTGTCAAGATATCTTTACAAACATATTCAAAAGAAGTATTAGGGTCAAAGTCCTGTGCATCATGACATCTTCATTTCTGCATGCGAGGTTATTTAGCTATGGTTTAATAGTAAATGCTCCTTTTCTGTTTTCTTAAAATAGCTACAAGAGGATGGATCTGTAGAGTAACAGGGATCTTTGTTCACTGCACAGAAGCAGTATGTCCATGTATGATTTTAGTAACTATAGAGTGGAAAGTCATAAAGACTCATCTGTCACCTTCCTAAAGTTTCCGAGGAGATGAAAAATGTATGTAACTTCATTTCAATGCAGTGAGAAATATTGCTTTTAAAAAAGTAATTACAATTGCTATCTCATGGGATTTTATTTATCCAACATCTATTCACTAATTCATTCTTATTACATATCATATAACCAAAAATTTTAATTACTTAATGCATTTACATGTTCAAAAAGTTTAGATGCACACAGAATATTAGCCAGTTAGTTCTCCCAACCAAACTGACTAATTCCTTCCCTTTCTTCTCCTCCACCTATTCTTGTCTTCTTTTCTATTCTTTTTTCTATTGGCAATCAAACTGGACCTTATGCTTACCAGGCAGGTACTTTGCCATTAAGCATTTTCCCATCTTCCTGTCCCTCATGAAAATTAGTAACACCCTCCTCCTCTTAAAAGCCAAATGCCTGAAACCATTCACATTTTAAAAATGTAAATGGCAGTTTCCAAAAGAATATAGTATAAGAGTTATTATACAATATTAATAAAAATACAACAAATGCTTAAATCTTAAGTTTTTCTTTATTATTGTCTCTTAAGAAATAAAAGACAAGCAGAATTGACAAAATTTTGCCTGGCCTCACTGTATAACACTCCTCCCAATGAGAAGCTATCACTAAGTTTCTAATTTCACATTCGTGACTGGGTATCTAGCGCAGTAGCTGTCCACTTTAGCATCCATCCGCATCATCTGCAGGGCTGACCCAGACTCTGCTCGTGGCCAACCCAAGACACTGGGGGTCGGGGCTGACAGGCAAGTTCTCACGGGTCCCCAGTGACACACATGCTGCAGGGAGCCTCCTCTGAGACAGTTCTGGAACCTACTATCCATCAATTGCTATGCACACACTCTGAGGAAAGAGAGGGATGGAAACACAGGCAAAGACATCATCTCTGTTCTTAAAGAATACTCTAGGGCCAGAGTGAAGATTTGCAGTGCTAAAAAAATGCAGAAAGGGAACTTATCAGGGAGTCCTCCCTGCTGGATGCCCAGCATAACCGAAGAGTCCCAGAGGAGGAGACTACAGGAACTGGCCTAGTGAAGGATGAGACAGGCTTACAAAAAGATACTGCACATCTAAAAGAATTAGTCCAATGCACCATTATAAGAAGAAAAATATGAGGCTTAATGCCTCAAAAGGCTTTTTTCTATGTATGAAAAAAAACAGGAAACCACAGAGAGCTGAAGAGAGACACCACATCTGATGCCATTTAGAAGTAACACACGTCAGACTCTGATTAAGATTAACAAAATGACGCTGGTGTAAGAGAACAAGGGAAATGCTTAATAATATTAGAAAGTTATTGATTTAATATGACATATAAATATGCAATTACGTCCAGCTTCATTACAGTGACCATGAAAGTTAATGCCTAAGAGGCACATTTTTCTCTTCTAAATTAAAGTCTCCAATAATCAACATACACAAAGAATATAAACTATAGTGGGAAGAGTTGATCAAAGAACTGCTCATTAAGACTGGCACAAATATTTTTTTATAATGAAAACCACAGATTTGTTTTGTGTACATATAATGGAAGTTAAAAGATGGCTCAATACATAAAACATTATTATTTAATATTTAAGGTGGCTGGAGATGACAACTGAGTGCCCACTACCTTCCAGGCCACATTATACAAAATGTACAAACTTATAACTGACAAACAGAAAACTTCTACTTCTCCAGTACTTGTGTGAATGAAACTTTGTAACAGTTCAGTTACCATAAACCTAAATCCCACAGAGGCATTCATTCACTAAATCCCTAATTAAGTGTGGCAACAGGGAATACAAGTTAGCACATTATTTGGCTACCTTACCAGAAAAACCTTATCAGCCTCTCTCCCTCTGATCAGCTCAGCAGAACACTCCTGTGTAGAAGGTGAAAGTAGTGAGGGAGGGTGTTTCCCAAGTGAAAAATAGAGAGATGTCGTTAGAAACAACAACTACAACAAAAAATAGATTTGCTAAAGCTGCTGTATGCAGGATCTACACTTCCCACAGAGAATTGGAAGTGGTTACCACTTTCTTTCCAGAATTGAGGGGGGACAAAGGAATGGGGAGGGAATAAATTTTCATGCTTTTAATGAAACTGCAGCAAGAGGATGGCATTCTCACTAATTCTTCCCCAGACATGAAGCCTTAATAGCAAACTGCTTTAAAACATGTAGAAATGTAAGTGTGGAGGCACTGAGCAGAAGAAAATGGAATGAGATAGAAAAGAATTTTTAAAGAAGAAACAAAACACTAAATAAACCAACAAACTTAAAGCCCTCACAAATCACTAAGTATTTAAAGGATCTAGTTTCCATAATACTATAATACACATTAATTTCAAATCGAATCACCTATAAAATATACAGAAAAGCACATAACACTATGAATCTACAACTAACAATACAAGACCAAGAAGGAGTTAGGATAATGCTGTAGGCAGCTGAGTGAGATAGGAGATTATAGGCAGTCAGACAGGGCTAGGCCCTACAAGGAATCAGGATGGGAAAAAACATACCTTGCAACTGTGCAAGAGACAGGCAGTTCTACTGTGGGCCAGACCTCAAGACAAAAAAAATGAAACAAATACAGCCACATACTCCCTAGGGATGGACATTAGGGGTTGACATTCTAAATAGGTATTAATCACCATGAAAAAGCCAGGAAGAGACAATAACCCAACCCAATTCAAGTAAAGCCCCTGATCTGTATTCATGTCCACTTGCTACATGACTTGTTTCCTCATTTGATCCGGATTTAATTCATTTTACCTGAGTGATTATATCTGCAATTTTACTCAACTATGGTCAACTATTTTGACCATAGTTCTGTCCCACCTCATGCCACCTTGTGATTTCCCATGTTTCCGCCTTGGACCTGCCTCATGCCATGATTTGCTCTACAAAATCTCTAGGAAAGGCTGGTTCTTTGGCAACCTACGTAGGTCCCTTTCTGTGCCTCTCTGGGACAGAAACTCTCTTTCCCCATATAAATATATTTTGTTCTTAACCTCCACTGTTCCTAGAATTCATTCTTCAGTTGTAGAGAATATGATTTCGCATCAGATATCTGGCAGGCTGGGAGTTTCTTTTCCCTATATCAATAATATAATTTCAAAATCTTAGACTTCTGGTAAGAGCATAGCTGCTCTACTTTGGCTTACTGTCACCCACTGCTACACAGAATTCTTTTAATGACTTGGAAAAGAGGGACAGTTTTATTCACTTGTCTGAAGAATTTAATGAGTAAGGCTTTATTATAATTTTATTATTTGATAGTGGATTCTGTCAACTACATAGCAAAACTAATTGTCTTTGCAAGCCTTTATTTCTAGAACTGTTTTTCATGTTTGCAGCAATACTAAGTATATTTGTTATGGGGAATTGATATGTGAAACTCAAAGAACTCAGTTCTTCTTACATTGTCCCCCTTTTCTGGGGCACATAAGGTAACACTATGCATAAGCGAGAAGTCAGTATCTGCACTCATCACCAAAAATGCATAGCTATGCTTAAATCATTACAAAAAATGTCATTATTAATAACAATTGCAAAGAGAAAGAACCTAATGTGTATTAATAGTAGAATGAATTGCCACATAATGGAGAAAGAAAAAGTAGTGTTAAATGCAAGAATGGAGTGGAATTCCATAAACATAACAGAGTTGAGACAATTTGGGTTTGAAGCAGTATGGTTTGTATGATTTTAACTTTCTGTAACTCCATCATGCTGCAACGGAGGACACTGCGGGCAGGCAGCAGCTCCCCAGGACGCCCTGGGTGGCAGCAGGGTTTCTGCGCTGCAGCTTACTCCACCTTACAACAGGAGCACTGACACTGGTGGTTGCACTTTGTAAAACTTCTCAACTCACATTTATGATTTGTGCACTCTGTGTACGCTAAAATTTAATTACATATTCAACCTTGTAATTATGACATTAAAATCCCAGTTTGAAAAGACAAAGAAGTATATGCATGGACAATATAGTCCATAATATAATTAAGGGATTTAACATATTTCATTGTTAGTTTGGCTTTTTTTAAATATATATTTGGTACCGGGTCTCACTACGCTGCTTAAATTCGTGTGATCCTCCTGTCTCAGCCTCCTCAGCGCTGGGATTACAGGCATGTACCACCATGTCCAGTGTACGTGGCCAGCTCAGCATGCCCGGGGGCAAGGCCGGGGCAGTCTGTGGTGCCGGGAATCCAACCCAGGTCCCTGCACTTGCTTAAGTAGGCACCTAGTCCACTGAGATACTCACCAGCCCTCATTAGCTTCCCCCCCGGAACCGGGGATTGAACTCAGGCCCTTTTGCTTGCCAGGCAAGTGCTTATTCTACTGAGCCATCTCCCTGGCCCAGCCCTCATTAGCTTTGTTTTGATAATGGCTGTTTAAAATCCAATCTAGTTTAAGGTGAGTATCACCTGAACTTCAAACAAAAACCCTTATTCTGTCTTTATTAAGCTGTTCCTACTTTCAATTTTATGTTGATTTTTCTACAAAATTCACCAAGATCAA